TAAGAAGTAAGTGTTGGTGTATCGCACGTCCGGTACCCACCCCACCGCCCACTCCGTACCCCGGCCGTCGGCCGACGCCGCTAGTACTAAAGTAATTAATTTTTAGTTTTAGAGAGAGAGATCATGTAAGAGAGAGAGAGGGGGGAGGAGACCGCATTCCGTCCAGGCTCGCCGTTACCGTCAGATGAGGAGAGACAGCTCGGATATCTCCGTAGGGACACGTGGCATGCTGTGGCAGAGGATAACTAGGGCACCTATGCGGCACTCGACAGCCGCACACCAACCCTGAGAAATAAGTAGTGATGACTTTTCTTGCTCTCACTTTCCCCTCGTTCTTTCTTTTTTTTTTCTCCTTTGTAGCCGCCCATAGGTTCGGCAACCAGCCTCCGCGAAAGCTAGATGCATGGCTTAAATTAACGGAATGATTAAATTATCCCTGCAAATGCAGTTATTCTCGGCCGTACCCAGGTCTCAATTGAATTTGGAAGGTAATGGGCCGGGTAGGGCCGGTTATATGGGTAGTAATGGACCCGCACCCGACCCGGGACCTGTCAGGTCCAACATTTGAACTCGACGAGTCAGGTCTGGGTCCAAAACCTGGACCCGAACACTATTTGGGTCTAGATCTCGATCCGGTTGGACCCAACCTATCCCCGTAAACTGATGGATAGAGAATACTTCAAACCTAAAATACTTCAAGCCTTATTATTTACGTGTATTAAGGATTGTATACAATAACTCGTAGTCATTTTTAAGCTATTAAACAACAAATCTGATGAACTTGAAATTTAATGGCAGGTGATTATGACTTTATTACCAATGATAGGGGTATATGATGGTGGAAAAATGAGAAAAAAAAAGAAAAAAAGAGCTCATAGTGAGAGTGGCAATGGATTCGACTCGGGACCCGACGGGTATTAACATGGCTCCAACTTTTGGGCCCAACAAGTGAAGTCTGGGTCCAAATTCTATATCGAAATACTATTTGGATTTGACTCCAGGTCCAACCATACCTGACCTATTGCCACCCCTATTTGGAAGGCAAAGGGCGAGGTAGAGCAGGCGGAATGCACCAGAGTGATCGATTAGTCCGGTCCTAAAGAACTAGGACTTGGTTCATATAATTGTGATACAAGGGCCGGGCTAGGGCCCAATTCAGCCCAACCTCTTGTTATTATATTTACTAGCCTCTTGTTATTATATTTATATTTTTACTTTATTTATTTTTGGCCCGGCAGACCCAGACGGTGGGCCCAATAGGAACAAGGACCGTTGCCACACTTATTGCCACCATTATTGTATGGGTATCTTGGTCCAGTATCAGTGCATCACTAGAAACACTTTCTTTTTGTAGTTTTCTGGCCGCTTTCGACGCCCTTAGCCGCCCTCCCCACCGAACTCAGTTCCTAGCCTCCGCAAACCCTAGACGCCGGGCTACTCCTTCCTACAACAAAAATTACCCGAGAATAGAAGCGCCCCGACCCCCGTCAGACAATGAAGTTTTACTTTCCACATTAAATGTTAACAACACCTTTTAATCATGTAAGCGACGTGGCGTGAAAATTAATCCAACGGGGTGGTTAGAATTTGAACCACCCAATTTTTCCTAGTTAAAAGGATACAATTTTTATGAGGCCTAAACTTCATGAAAACAACATAAAACATCTCACCTCAAATATTCATCCAAAAAAATACTTTAAACAAAGAAAATCTTTCTCTAAAATCAATTTCCAATTCCCACTACAAAATTTGAATCTCAAAAATTAAAGATATTGCATATCTATAAATACTTCTTTTTAGGGCAAAATAGATAGCCTAGATATCATATTACAACATACATTGTTTTTAAGACTCGAATTACTTTTTTTTTTTTAACAACTAAAGTGCTCAATGCGAAAATGACCCATTTGAAGGTTATCCACGCCAGAACTCTAATTTTATGAGTTTTGAGTTGAGAGTTTACGTACTTTTAATAGGACTGAGGCCCTATCAAAACATCTTCCTAGTTCAAGATAAGTATGTCGGTTTGGTTCGTTGTTTTCCCTTATTTGAGTAGTATTTCACATGATGTCGGTCGTGTTCACTATTGATACTGAATTTGGGAGATTAAAGTAACGCGGTAAACAAAGGGTTGAAAAATCCAAGACGTTTCTGCTCCTGAATTTAAAAGGAAAAGTTTTATGTACGGGATAAACCTTATACTGAGTAAGGTGCACCTAAAAAATCCTAGAGAAAGATAGTTTTTTCATAAATCATTCATTTTTAATATTTTTAAGTGTTAAGATATTTGCTTCATCGTCATTTAAAACTTTATATTTGATAGTTGGGGGCAACAATAGATTTTCATATCATCACAAGCTTTACGGCAATAGTATTGAGGAGTACCTTACTTCAATAGTATAAGGCTGACACCTTATACAAATCTTACTGTGTATCAAAGATATTTTATTTTGAAATAAAAAATCTCACACTCTTCAATGACGGCCGCTTCCAGGTTCGGTACCGAGCCTACACCACTAAACTAAGGTACAAGAGACTAATGAGATTGACTTAATTAATTACCCCCACTTTCGAAGATTAACTTTGACTAAAATAACCCGTGTATGTAGCAAAAATAACAAAGTAGTTCATATAACTGCTCCACGTGTAAAATTTGACCAGCGGGAACCTCTAGGTGAGATTCGGCCCGACCAAAATATGACGATATTACCCCTATCTGAAATAATGTCTAACCGAAGTACCCTTTTATTTCGAACCTTTAATTGCCTGAAAACTTCTAGATACTAAGTAACAAAACAATTTGCTCTTCCGATTTCCATAGGCAGTCCCTATCATGTACAAAATTAACGAAATTATTCTTTGGAACAGTATATTGATCCTCATCACACCATCCAATGTGGACAATAGACGGTCGAGGGTTGCGATCGATTTTGGATGGACAGAACACTGCCCTCAATTGTATGTTGGCAAGCTTGATGAGCTATCACTATCTTATTTGGAATTAGGCAGGCACTTTAGCTTATAAATTAATTGGTTAATCCATCATCTTTTTTGTTAAAATTTTAAAGGCACTTCGATTTCTAGAAGGCGTAATTTTGAATTACTGGAGTACTTCTCTACACTATCGGTATCTACTTAACTTAGGTTAAAAAATGGATATTGCGAGCTCCATGTAAAATCTACTTCCTTAAAAGATGTAATTTCTAGTTTAACATAGGTTAAAAAATGGATATTGCGAGCTCCATATAATATCCACTTCTTTAGAATATGTGATTTCTAGCATCTTATCTCTTCCGAAGCACCAACACAGCCTAAAAATTTCAAGGGACAATATAAAATTAATAGCTCTTTAAAATACAAATACGAAAGTTACAATGGGTCATAAATAGTAGTTTTAACAAATATGTGAATTGCAAAATATGGCAAACAAAAAGATATACATACAACGACTATTACTAAAAGACAAAAGTACTAATATCATTTTCCAAATGACATATTTGAAATTTTAACTGAAACTACAGGGTATTGTATTAATTATTAAAAATATCTAGGACACGTATTCCAAAATGCTATCTGGTTGTAATGAAATTTTTTAATTGAGCTTTCACTCAAAGAAGGCCTTACTTATAAAAAATAAAGTTCTTATAAAAAAAAAGTGTATATGTTTTAATAAATACATCAAGCAAAAGCCATTCTAATATATTCTAATATTAATATTTGCATTTTAAGGATTGTTAACTAAAAGTAGACCTAACTTTAGAAGTACCAAAAACAATTATTATCATTTCTGGCCACAGTTCACAAAACTACAAGCCCTTTATACATTTTCTTCAAGTTAAAAGTTTACATGGCAACCTTATAATGTAGAGCTACATATACACCTCAAGAATCCATCGGAAAAGGTAGTTTTAATATTGAAAAACCTTTTGATTGATCATCTCGACATCGAGATGTATGACCATGAAAAGTAAAAAGATTTTAAGTCTCATAAATAGTGCATTTTACAACATATTATCTACACCATCCATTTTCAATATTTTCATATATTTATAGATCTATTTCATTTTAACCATTTTTTAAATTTAAAATTTTATAATTAAATATAAAAATAGATTTTGAGATAATCCTAAAAATATTTTACATCAAAATTATATATCATGATAAAATTTGAAGGCACACTTTACCTCTACAGCTACATATGCATCCGTATGCCAACTGCACCCTTTCTTAAAATTGGTCGTCTTGTTGTCATTTATTATCATTTTTTGCAACAGTTCACAAAACTACAGTACCTTTACACAATTTCTTCAAATAGGTCGTCTTCTTGTCATGTGACCATTTACAAATGAGAACATTTACAACCTTCAGTCCAAAAAGGAAAAAGACATCCAAAACCGTCATATATGAAATCCGATGGTCATTCTTATGGGCAAGTGAAGAAAAATCACATTTGATGCTTTACTATTTTGTAACATAAGTTGCCTCATTCAATTATTTCCTCTTTTTATTTTCTTTCATGGGCTATGTCAAAATCACCTAGTTTTACTATTATATCACTATCCAACTTTTTCACGTTACTGTCCAAGAATTGTGTGGAAAATATCGAAAGGTCCACTACCGCTTACGAAGTGATGAATTTGAATGGTTCCGGATCATAATGGAGGTTATATACTAACTTTTCGAGTCCTTATGATACATGTGTAACTAGTGTAAGGGTCTGCAAAAGTACCGTGGGACTTGAATTAGATCTTCAATGAAATTAGAGACTTATTGAGTGTTAGGCAAGTCTCTTTCCATCATTTATCATCATCCAAGCTTTGTTCCCATTATTTAAGGTCCACTTCATGAATCATATTTTGTCACTCTGCTTTATCAAGGTC